TCGAATATACGTTGTGAGGACGCAGAGTAAATTTTACCGCTTTATTGATATAATACAGGGTTGATCAGGAGGATTATTGAAGAATAACGAGTAGAAATCGCTTGCCCGTGAGTCAAAGGCTGTTATAAGAATACTATAGAAGAGCACTAGTCCAGACCAAACCTTTATACAAAAAAGGGATATATATATAAAGAAGTAGGAGTGGTTTACATAGAACGTTAGAGGGTATTCCTTTAGATACAAAGGAAACGGTAAAAATGTGTATTTCCGTTAGACAAAGATAACAAAGAAACGTATGGGAGATAATTTTGAGGAATGTGATTTGGTGAATAATGCAGTGATGAATCATTAGAAATATTCTGAGCATTTAATGTATAAATTCTTTCGGTTTTTCCGACAATAGATACTAGGAGTTGGAATATGAAGAAAAACAAATCCAAGAAATCTCCGATGTTGTGGAGGTAAAGGTAAAGGTAAATATTATCTGGTCGTTACCGCTCACTAATTTGTCTGTTAATATCACCGAATGCTTTTCGATAGAAGAATTCCGTATTGCTCGTAGTCATAGGTAAAGATATTTTCCGAATTTGATACCGTGCCTTCCTTCTTGCCGCTCGTACTTCATCCATCTTAGATTTTCTCTTTCCTTTCTTCCTTATGTGAGCTACAAAAAGTTTGTTGAATAAATGTAGGACTGGTCGGAATGATACACTCCTGACGATCTTTACAACTGTCCCCTGAAACGGAACCGCCGAACTCCCTGAATATGAAAGAGAATCCAAACTGCAATTTGTGCAACAACCAATGATTGACATAATGATAAGAAAACGTACACCAGATTGGCACGAGCAAAACGTTTTTACGAAGTAGGAGACTAAAGAGGGCAACATCAGGACTGGACGGTGAGCTATGACCGATAGTTTTCTGTTCTTTCTCACCTCATTCTACAAGAGAAATAAATAACGATCAATTGCTGATTTAAGGCTTAGCGAAACACATCGAGAAAATATTCAACAGATAATGTTACAGGATATGGAGTCAGTGCAGTAGTATGAAAGAAGGTGAAGTGTTTGTGGATATTGCTGGCTACTTATCAACACAATAACTTAGGTCATAACAATCCTTTACTCTGGACCACACTTATCCAATAAACACTCATTCATCAGCCCAACTAGGAATGTTAATGAAGGGGGAGATCCTGAAAACAGTCCTCCAGAAACAAGGGGAAAATCCTGAAAAATCTAGCAGAACTACCCATTTCTGAAGGAATGTCAGACTTTCCTCTTTAAAGGAAAAAGTCTCATACATATGCAAATTCATTACTGTGATACAGACTATTATCCATTCTCACCTCCACTACCTCTTATACTGCAGGGAACATAAGTTGGAGATGATGTGATTTCACAACATCATCAGGTAACATCAGTACTGTTTCTGTGCAGACCGAACAAGTTGGGAGCATCATGTCGCACTGCCACGTATCCGAGAATAGTAACTATTCAGGCCTGGATAAGTTAGACTTAAGTTATAGCTAAATTGACACGCATTGGCAAATAATTTTCTCCTACTTTCCTTCCAATCAACCAACCATTAATCAAACCAACTACCATAAATGTTGATAGTACATTAATCCCCTTCCCTAAGACCCGATATTGTAGTGACAAGAAGTGATTCATTGGGAAGCACTGAATATCTGCTCTATCGTATTTATATTTAGGACCTATTCATGCTATGAATTCTCTTACGTAATTAATACTACCATAAAAAATAGTACTATCTTCAAAAAGAATGGAGCAAAAGATTGGATCAGAGAGCGAAATGAGTGGGATGACAAGCATGTCCAAGGATCTTTTCATTCTGCAGCACTTCTGTGATCTCATTTAGTAACCATATATGTCCTTTCTAAACTTAATATAATACGATCCATCCCTCCTCATTTATTTCCTCACTATTTCATTATTTTCAGGGTGGTTCACCAAAAGACCAATAAGGTTTATAAATTGAATAAGTCCGCATTCATCTCGTTAATGTCGTGAAAGTTGAGTTTTTCCTTTATTTGATGCAAACAAATGATTGTGAAAGGAGTTTACTGGTCGACAAAGAACATATTCCAGTTAGATTTATAAAACAATGTGAGAGAATATCACCGTGTCTCGAAAATGTGTCGTGAAAGGGCACAGATGGAAATTGAATGAAAAATATTATTGAAAAACGAAGGACTTCCTTTGACGAAGTATTGCTGTGAAGTTCGAACCTTTTGAGTTGCAACCATGAGCAACAAATTGAGTGTGGAATGGTTTCAATGAAAGTCAGCGAAATATTTAGAAAGATAACCAATGGAAAATCAAATAGAAAAAGAGAACGATGTGTTGTAATGGATGTACAAAACGATGAGTAGAAAAAAGAATAAACTCGGATGAACTATGACCCCCTATATGGCACAAGTGGAATGGGTTTATAATGTCTATGAGGGATATACACACATATATGTAATGTTGTCGAGAAAGAGTAGATTGGATTTGTTCGATGAGCAATCGATGGTAAAATTTATTTGTAGTAAATATATAATAACAGCT